GTCGAACTTCTTCTGCACTTCGGGTCGGCCGAACAGGCTGAGCATGTTCGGCCGACCCGAAGCCACACGAAGCAGGCCGACGTACGGCTGAAATCAGCCGTACCAGCCTGAAGTGAATAGCCGAACAGTGTTCGGCTCACTTCACTTCTGATCGGTCATTCACTCGGCTGCCCTCGGCAGCATAGTGAATAGACCCCATGGTCTAAGAACTACCCTGCCAGTGAACCTAAGTGTAGCTACCTATAGGGGAACTCAGGCTTCAGTAAACCAAGTGAACCGATGCATAATTGTGGTGCTAGCTGGATAGCCAGAGTAGTTTACCATTTGTCGTAATAATCAAAAATCACTGCGCTGGGAATGAGTTACTCAAAATCTAAATAGCTAAATAGACCAGCAGCAACTATGTGTGTAAGTGAGTCTATTGTGTGGCAGATAAGTTGCGCTCGGTCTAGTTGCGAATGGGTGTGAAAGTGATCTCTTAAAGAGTGAGAGATCACTTTCACACCCATTCACAACTAGACCGAGCGCAACTTATCTGCCACACAATAGCTTACCATTTGGTTGCACTTGTTGCATGAAATTTCTCCTAAAGTTTAAGTATTAGGGGGCACATTACTGTTAGGGGTTAAGTGTTAAATTTCAAATGGAGGGGTTCAGTGTAATGGTCTGGTTAACTGGTTGGGATAAATCATTGGCTAGAGACATTAAGGGGCACTGCTTTAATTACTCAGGTTTTAGAAACTTAGAGTCCTGCACTGAGAAGTATGGCGCTAGACTACCAAAATTGATGTAATTTAAAAATCGTTCAAGTTATTTAAAGTTACATTTCAGGTAAACAGCTAAGTACACCATATATGGGAGCTGTTTTAGGTACCAATTTGTATATCTATCCACCCATTCCTGAGATTTACAGACATCAGACATATGAGGTCATCTCCCTGCTCTCTCTTCTAGTCAGCATGTTCCTTGTCAGACTATGTACATGCAGCAGAGCAGGATCGGCTTCTATTGTTACCCCTCCCTACTCTAATCTGAGCGATGCTGTACAGGGGATTACAAAATACTGAAATCAAGTCAAACATTTACATGTTTTATGATAAATACATGCATGCATGGAGTTCAGCTTTGCAGTTATTTCAAAAATTAAAAAATAGCTTAAAACAGTGAGTGTCCATTTAGGGGATCTTTGGAATCAGTACTGAACTGGGAATACAGCATTCAAACATTAGGAAATACTTAAAATAACAAAAGACCTGTCAAAGCGTACTTGGTGAATGTATGTTATTCATAAAACAGTGAAATAATGACCTTAGTCATACTTAAAACCAAGAATACACTTGATTGTGTCTCCACTACGTGGTTTATCAGACCATCAATGTGGAATACACAGAGAGCTCCCAAGAGAAAAATGCTTACTTGGCCCCAGCATTAATTCCTGTTATTTAACGGTATGTCTACATTGATTGTTTTGACAAAAAGCAAGGGCAGGCAACGACAATGGGGAAGACACACAGAGCGAGTTTCTCTGAGCTCAGCAACCTTTTTTATTGTCACATCTCCAGTCATATTTGCATGGCTTCCTTGGAATTAGCAATCACAGGAATATGTCCTTCCTTTGAAAATATAATAATCTCACTTATCAATGATAAATGAAAGACTAGAAGATCGGTCATTGTCTACATTACACAGGCTCATCTGTGTCTTCATTTAAAATCTGTAGACTGTCTGCATGTCTTCAAAGGACACTTTTTTTCCTATTTAAATAAATTATTACCCTTACAAAATAATGTTCCGCATTGCAAGAAGTGGAACTCAAGCACGGTGCTGGCATTTCACTAGCGTTTTACCTGAATAATTTAAGCTTTTAAATTCTTGATTACACCTCATGCTTGCGTATCAGAGCACAATCCAGAGAGTATTATAGCTTGCAAAATGAGAATGGCAAACTCTATCTTCGACATCTATTGCTCAGTGCTTGAGCTGGAAGGGTGTAGTGTTTCCTAACGGAGGTCATTCTATGGGCGAGTGTGTGATAGCACCAAACCACAATCACAGCTAGGACACACACACTCAAACATCAGTGCAAGTCCAGATGGTCCAGGAACAGCAGGCCGTCAAGTCGGGGCACTGTCACAAATCAGTAAAAATTGCAGCTATGTTTTTGGATAATGAATGGTGTATAAATCAAGGCCCACAAACACCATAAACAGATGTCTAGCCAGTAGTGGTGGCATGTTCATCTTCCTCACAACTACTGCAGAGAGAGAGAACCCAATCTCCAGCTGTGACACAGCAGGACTAGCTACCAGTGAAGCAAAGAGGATAACCAGCGCTACCAAGCAAAGTAAGTATGATCCTGGCAGAGAACCCTAACGCTGCCAGCTCAGTGGAGTGGGAGAGGGGGCCACCAACCCTTCTTAGCCCAGTTGCCTATTTGGCAAGCCCTTAAAACTCCCACTGTGCATTCAGGATAAGAGCTGCCCTACCTCCAAGGGCCCAGTACCAATTACTAACTCTGCTTTGTCAAAGGGAACTGCTTCTAGTGTGAACCTAAACTATTTTTTTCATGAAAATCTCAACCTCATATCCAGCCCAAATTATTTATTTTAGTTTTGGGATGGAGTATGGAGGATTAGAAGCTCTGCCAGGTATTTAATACTGGCCATGTGTATCATGGTGAGGTTTTCCCTCACTGGGTTTTAATAGCATTTTGATTTATAGACAAAACAATAACAGGCTATGGTGTACTATTGTTAATTTTCCTCATCCTTTCTTAGCAACTAATGTCCTTCTGCAGTATAATTCCATTGACACCCCTATTTTTACTGCAATATAATATTATAGACAGAAAACAATTAGCCCTGCCAACAGGGTTGTAAATATACCACACGTAAAGCAACAATGTTGAACTTCAAAATGATGGACAGAATCAAGTCACTTTCAGTTCTCTCGTTGGGTCAAGTAACGGTATTAACAGCTGCAACCCTTCAGGTCTGCCTCTTCTAAGTCAAGTTACCAGAAATACTTCTCAGAATCCATATGTATATAATACAGTCTTTCCATGATGTAACATGTCAGGGAGTTTCCATAACTAAAAAAAAACCGTTCTAGATTTAACAGGATTGTGTGTGGCCAAAAAGAACAAAGAACACAGCCAAATAAAGTTTGGGCAGGGCTAGTGTATGGGCTGCAAATGTACTGCTTTGCATCCCATAGGCCTGGTTTTTCTATTCCAGTCATTTTTATTGTACAGCATCACACAATCAAAATCAAATCACACAATCCAGTATGCCAAAAAATGCACCGGATCTTTCTAACACGGGAAATGGGTAACACATCATAGAAATATACAACAGCTTAGATGTAAGGAAAAATATGATAGATATTGTGCAGCAAACACAGTTAGGATTTGGCAGGAAAGGAGATTTCAGGACAAGGCTTTAAAACTATGATCAGATCTGCCGCATATGGTGTCCTCACAGTGAAGCTACCCATAGACAGACATTCAATACGTTTCGTTCCGAATCAAAAATCGGACAAATTTTCCGAAATTCGAACATTCGGACAGATCCGAATTTCCGAATCCCAATGCATCCAAATGAGCCCGAATCAGAATTGATGTTTCCGAATTTCGGATCCCGTTCGAATTTCGATCAACAATGAAACTGAATCGGACATGTGATTTTTCTGGCCAATCTGATGTGTTTTTCGGTTTAATGCATCCGAATGGGTCTGAACACGAATTTTCGTTACGCAACATGGGAGTCATATACAGTATATACATATAATACTAAAGCTGAGGCTCCCAGACCCGAATGGCATTCGGGATCCGAATTTCCGAATTACATGCGGGAGCTCCCAAATGCCATTTGGGTCTGGGAGCCTCAGCTTTAGTAATATATGTATATAGATCCCAGAACCGAATGGCATTTGGGAGCTCCCGAATGTAATTCGGAAATTCCGGTCCCGAATGCCATTCGGGTCTAGAGGATCCAGCTTTACTATTAATATCTGTATATGGTTTCCCGTGGTATTTGCAATTAATATTCATAAACTCACCCGAACCTAATGAAAATTCGGATTTCACCCAAATTCGAAACCTGAACAGAATTGAATTTTCGGATCCGAATCCCAAATCCCGAAATATCAGAATCGAATCAAATTTTTCTGCAGCTTACATGTTTATGGGTACCAGCCTCTGATATCTATGTGTAGGCATCAGAGACTGGTAAGATTGACACACACATTTGAAAGTCCTCTGATGTGTATGGGAAGTTCTACTGTGACACAACGATGTCAAGCAACTTTAAAAGTGAACTCCTGGAACATACTGTATAAAACTGTATAAAACAAATGAATACAGTAATATATTCATTCATAATCAATCAGAACTCCATCCAAAACTATAGAGCAATACACAATATAGAACAATAGAGCCTATGTCCCATTTTATTTACTTCTGTGTTTGTACTGGTGAGAAAGTCGTGAGAAATCTCTCCAAAGAAGGCATAACCAAAAAACAGGCATGTTTGTAGTAGTGAGGACGTGTTAGAATATCTGACAATGTTTTAATGTAGAGGTCAGCTACATAAAGTGCTCTGTGCTAAAGGTCTACCCATGACAGGCTTGATCCAATAACAACATTGATGCACATACACACAGTTGGTTGCAGTCAAACAAGGATTTTTCATTGGTTTGTTGTATTGTATAGATTTTTGCTTTACGCCTCAACTATAAGGTATTAAATAAAGAGTAATACTGTCTAAGAAACCAAGGTTAACAATTAGCGGTGACTTGTGCAGAATATATGCACAGAGTATAAATGAGAGGAAACTCTGGAGCAAATCTTCTTTATCTTCTTCCTGGAGAACAAGTAACAGGAATTTTACCATTACATTCATAAATCATGACTAGCGGTAGATGAAAAGAAAATGTAATTCTACATGTGAGAACAGTGTCTTATGTGCAGAGGTTCCAAATCATTAGCAGGTAAAACCTACCGTAGTGTATTTCCCCAGCTGACATAGGGAGGGGAAGGTTTCTTGATGCGCTTTTCTGATTTTCTCTGCTAGGTCATCGAGCTCAGCTGTCATCTCGTAGTTCTCTGTGCACTCCTGTTTCGATGGCTCTTTCTTCTTCTTGTTTCTGTCATTTCTGACTGCTGTAGGAGAGATGAAGATACTTCAGACACCGACTACTGAACTCAAACACTCCCTGTAAGTGAGCCCAACTGTGTGAAGGAAGCACTAATTGTTCACTCTGTGTATTGTATATTGTAGTGTAGATACATAGAAAATGGTTGTAACTGCACACAATGACACGGGCTCCACATGAGGTAAGAAGGTCAACACTTGTCTGTGCCAGCAGCTGAAATGATATCTGTGAGATCTATGCTAGCTGGTAATTTAAACTGGAAGCTTAATTAATACTACTATTAAAAATGAAAATAATGCACAAAACTCCTTATCATAGATTTAGACTCTACCATGCCTGCCATACAACACTGTTTCTGTTGCAAATGTTATGGTTTGCACTTGTAACTGGAGGACACACCATTAAGAGGAATGTTTGGCTTGGCCAAAAGTCCCTGTTAAGGAAGGGGGAGTGAAGTGAGACCAAAAGATTCTTCTTGCACTGTTAAGCATGGGGAGGAGGGATACTACCAATTGGAACAGATTTGTTTAACTGTCTTACTGACTGTTCGCCTTTCCAGAGCAATCAGCTGATGGTCATGCTTGGGCACTATAGACATGAGATTGTCTTCACTCAGAATGAGAATGTCCAGATCATGTGACTGTCATCTCATGTGTGTGCATAGCTTTACCCACTGTATTTCAGGCCACGCTCACAAATATTTCAGGAGCCTTCAAGAAGTAAAGCTATTTTTACATAAACGTGATGTTGTGACTGAGACATTTTCCAGCACACTACTGATTTCTAGCACGCTATTTTCACTAAAAAAAACTGTTTTCTTTATCAGAAAATGGTTAATACCCTGCAATAGTGGGCTGCTAACAATTTTAAATATCAGAATTTCTTTTTCACATACATACATACATACATATTTAATGTATACAGTCATGGCCAAAAATATTGGCACCCCTGCATTTCTGTCAGATAGTGCACCACTTTGCACAGAAAATTGTTGCAATTACAAAAGTTGTATTTATTTATTGTTTATTTATTTTGTTTGCATTGGTATGACACAAAAAAGTGGAGAAAAAAGACAAACCTGGCACATTCCACGCAAAACTCCAAAAATTTACTCGACAAAATTATTGGTATAAATGAACAGGTGCTATAGAAATCACACTGACAACCAGTTAAAATAGTGAAAAATTGACTCAACCTTTCTGTTGTGTGTCTCTGTGTGCCACACAGAGCATGGAGAAGAGAGAGAGCAGCAAAGAATTGTCTGAGGATTTGAGAGTGAAAATTGTGGAAAAGCATGGACAATCTCAAGGTTACAAGTCCATCTCCAGAAATATTAATGTTCCTGTGTCCACTGTGCGTAACATTGTCAAGAAGTTTACAGCCTATGGCACTGTAGTTAATCTCCCTGGATGTGGACGATTGAAAACAATTGATCAAAGATTGCAACAAAGGATTGTTCGAATGGTGAAAAGACCCTCGATCAACTTCCAGACATTCAAGCTGACACAGAAACTGTTGACACAGAAACATAAAAAAGCCAGATTGGAATTTGCCAAAACTTACCTGAGGAAGCCAAAATCCTTTTGGGAGAATGTGCTGTGGACAGACAAAACAAAATTACAGCTTTGTGGTAAAGCCCATCATTCTACTGTTTTCAGAAAAAGAAATGAGGCCTTTAAAGAACAAAATACAGTCGCTACAGTCAAATATAGTGGAGGCTCACTAATGTTTTGTGGTTGCTTTGCTGCTTCAGGCACTGGATTTTTGACTGTGTGCATGGCATTATGAAATTCGAATACTACCAAAGAATTCTGGGGTGCAATGTAGGGCCCAGTGTCAGAAAGTTGGGTCTCCATCAGAAGTCATGGGTCTTACAGCAGGGCAATGACCCAAAGCAAACGTCAAAAAGCACCCAGAAATAGTTTCAGACAAACCGCTGGAGAGTACTGGACTGGCCAGCAAAGAGTCCAGATCTAAATCCCATAGAGCACCTGTGGAGAGATCTTAAAACAGCAGTTGGGAAAAAGAACCCTTCCAATCTGAGACACTTGGAGCAGTTGGCGAAAGAAGAGTGGTCCAAAATTCCTGTAGAGAGGTGTAAGAAACTAATTGATGGTTACAGGAAGCAAATTATTTCAGTTATTATTTCCAAGGGCTGTGCTACCAAATATTAATCAAGGGTGCCAATAATTTTGTCCAGACCATTTTTGGAGTTTGTGTGGAATGTGTCAGATTTGGCTTTTTTTTTTCTCCACTTTTTTTGTGTCATACCAATACAAACAAAAGAAATAAACATGAGAATGCCTAAACATTTGTAATTGCAACAATTTTCTGTGCAAAGTGATGCATTATCTGACAGAAATGCAGGGGTGCCAATATTTTTGGATAGAGTAGGCAACCCGTCAGCATTCTTTTGCCCATCTCTGTTGCACTGGGGAAATTTCTCTTCACTTCCTGCCCTGCAGACACAACAGAAAGTGGGAGGTAATCTTTTTGTGGTGAGAGAGGTCACCTTATGTTGATGGTTATCAGGACAAATGAGAATGATGCTCCCCAGCAGAGACAAAGGTATGTTAAAAACTTAATAGGGAAATCCCTTACCACTTGATCCAAAACTAAAATAAATTGACTTTAGATACACTTTAAGGATGTTGGCAACATATTACATTACACAGGTTTTAGTTTAACAGTAATTTTAAAGATAAACTTTTAGGATAATTTTTACAGAAACATTTGGCATTTTATTTTAAATGATTAAAACTGTCCAGACATATTTATGAAATATTTACCCCCTTTTTATAGCTGTTCTGCCTTTTTCTCAGGATGATTATTGAAGCTGAAATTCAGAGTTAAGAATTACTTAGGTCTCAAAGTTGCTGTCCTGTCAATTTTTTGACCTCAAGCTGATAATTCACTGTTTCCCAGAGCCCAAATGTGAAGGTGTATTAATCTTCTTAAAGGGAATACAAAAAAAATATAACAAGCTTTGTTATTTAATGATATTGCAATGCAGAACAATGAAGAGACAGCAAGTGTTACTGGTGTAAGGTAAGGCAACTGACAAGGATTCATCTGTGAGACCCTAGGGGCATTTCAGCTCTGACTCTCAACTTCAGTCATTATCAGACAAAGTAGATAAACCTACTGTATATAAATATTCTTCTCTTATTTGCTCCATTTTGGTCGATTAAATATACAATTGAAAGTGTTTTGTAATATCTGTTCATTAAGTTAATAAAATACCTGTTGATTCATCCAGAAAACCAGTTAGCTTTTAAATACCTACACTCTCAGACTGCGCGTCACTGAATTCTCAAGCAGTTATATCAACCCTGGAACCAAAGAACACCTCTTCTTTGGTTTGGAGATGAGGTAAGGGGGCAATGTTCTGAAGTCCTAACAGGCTTTCTGTCCTAGGGCAACTCTGCTCCTCCATAGATCCAGTACAGTGAGTGAGCGTTGTCACCCTAGGCTAGAAATTCTGTCACTGGCAGTATCAGCAGTTAAAAACATAGGGAGAAAGCCTGGAAAAAAGATATGCAGCCGTCACATGCATTAATAAGCTGCAGTATATTAAATGCTTGTTCTTGGGTTAAGATACACTTTAATGTTTTATTATTATTATTATAATTATTATAGAAATAATTAGG